GAGGGAGGCCTGTGGTGCTGGGGGCGGGGAGGGGGGAGGGTGTGTGTGTGGTGCTGTTGCACCTCAGTGCCTCTGTGTCAGCAGCCGGCTGGCACAGTCATGCTCTCCAGGCACTTTCAGCTCCTGTGCTCTCCCTGAGGGTGAAAGTCACTCCGCTTTTACTGTTAGAACAGAACTCCAGGACTCTAATGCCACCCGAGTGTGTGAGGAGGGTGACGACATCCTGCGGTCTGCTGTCAGGGTGGATAAAGTGATGGTGACTTTTCTGGGGTCAATGTCTTTTTCCCAGGATGAGATTTCTCTGTTCTTGCATGGTTTCCCCATGATGCTCAGCTCTGGAAGATGCCCGTCACTGTGGTCTTCCTCTGGGATGAGTGGCCTTGGTCCTGATGCTGTGCTGACAGCTGACAGAAGAGAGGAAACACAAAGCATCAATTGTCAGTGTGAATTGAATTTAAACCCTCAAAAAATTTGAGGAGAGAATGGACTACAAGTTTCAAAGCTGACAGAATGTTCGTGTAGGAGGGGACCCATGGCACACCAGCTTGTACTTTTACCAGAAAGAAAAAGAAAACAACAAAAAACAAGGCCCAGAGAGGAATGTGTCTTCCCCAAGGTCACAGAGCAAGCACGTGGTGGCATTGGTCACTTGGGTGTTCTGACCAAGGCCAGAAGGATCTTCATCTGTGGTCGGAAGGAACAATAAACAACTTGTGTTTGACTTTTGGAATCATGCAGACACTAAAGTTCACTCCACAGAGAGCTTCCCCATCTTCCCTGACACCTCGCTGGACTTAACGTTGACCGTGACAGTTTTTGGGGTGTCTGAAGGCACCCTGTTTCCTAGGGTAGAAGTTGGGTTTATTGAGCAGTAAGAAGGTAGTCTGGCCTTCTAGGGACCTCGGCCCTTGTCTTTGTGTATGAGGCAGCGTCCTGGGCTCCCATACATGCTTTCTACAAGTCATTCTGCACACACTACATTTAGTGTGCAACTACTGTGTACCAGGAGCTCTGTGATGAACAAAGCAGACGAGAGTTCTGCCTGTAAGGGAGAGAGTGAGAATGAGAACACAGGATCACGTCACAGAGAGGACTCACAGGATCACGTCACAGAGAGGACTCAGAGGGCATGGAGAAGGTTGCAATTGAAAAGTTAGGGGCACTCCCTGGGCAGAGACTTTCCTGGGTGGGCGTGCAGGTCGTGAGGACAGTGGAAACACGTGTGTTGTTGCTCAGAAGGCAAGAGTGACTGCAGTTGAGGGAGGGGTGGGGGAGGCCGGCAGGAAATGAGGTCACACATCATATCAGGTGCAGAGAACATAGAGTTGGGTTCAAAAAACAAAACAAAACAAAACAAAACAAAACAAAACAAAACAAAACAAACAAAAAAAAACTGGTGAAATGCCAAAAATACAAATATGAAATTTCTATCTGAATTTTTTTGTTTTCTTTGGTTTTTCAAGACAGGGTTTCTCTGTGTAATTTTGGTGCCTATTCTCGATCTCACTCTGTAGACCAGGCTGGCCTCAAACTCACAGAGATCCACCTGCCTCTGCCTCTCGAGTGCTGGGATTAAAGGCACGTGCCTCCACCAGCCAGCCTGAATTTTTTTTTTTTTGTTAGTGCTGGGAATTGAACCCAGGGCCTTGCACATGCCAGAGAGCAACTCTACCACTGAGTTGCATCCCACCCTGGTTTTTTTGAGATAGACTCAGTGTGTTGTTCATCTTGGCCTCAAAATCACAATCCTGCTGCCTCTGTCTCCCCGATGCTGGATCTGGGTCCCCATGCCCAGTGTCTTATATGAATTCATGTGTGTGCATGTGACTGTGTGTGTTTGGAAGCCAGAGGACAACCTCAGGGAGCTCTCCTGAGGATTCTGTCCACCTTGCATTTTGGAGACAGGGTCTCATTTGAATCAGGCAGGCTGGCTGGACATGAAGCCCTCGCGATCCCCTGCCTTTGCTGTGACTGGCCATGCGCCATCGCTCTTGCCCTTTGGCCGAGGCCCTGGGGATCCACTCAGGTTCTCGTGCTTGAACGGCAGACACCGTAACACCGAGTCACCCCCCAGCCCTGTCTTAACATGTTTACAGTGTTCAGATCTCAGAGCTAAATTTGTTCACACTGTTGGGAAGCCGGTGTCCAGAGTCTGTTTTCATCTTGCAAGTCTAAAACTGTGACAGCTAACAGCTCCTAATCCTCTCACCTAGAAGCCTCCGGCAGCTGCCATGTTACGTCTGTCTTTATAAATGGGACTACTCTGGTGCCTGGCTTATTTCACTTGGTGTAATGCCTTCCTGGTTCATCTATGACATAGTGCGTGCCAGAATTTCAATATCCCCCTCTTTCTATGTGTATATACGTGTGTGAGTGTGTGTGTGAGTGTGTGTGTGTGTGTGTGTGTGTGTGTGTGTGTGAAAGAGAGAGAGAGAGACTATACTCACCTGGGGTCAGAAGAGGGTGTAAAGATGTCTTCCTCTGTCCCTCTCCATCTATTCCTTTGAGGCAGGGTCTCTTCCTGAACCTGGGGCTCCTGTTTGCTCATCCAGGCTAGAATCTAGTAAGCGCCAGCTCACCTTCTGTCTCTGCCCTGCTCAGAGCTGGGGTTACAGAACATGGGTGCATTTCTCAGCTTATTATGTGGGTGCTGGGATCTGAACTCTGGTCTTAGGACTGAACATCACTGCATTTAAGTACTGAGTCATCTCCCCAGGTTCCCCTCCTCTTCAGGGAATAATATTTCTCTCTCTCTCTCTCTCTCTCTCTCTCTCTCTCTCTCTCTCTCTCTCTCTCTCTCTCTCT